GAGTCAACAGTGAGGGGCTCTGGAAACTTGCCGAAAAAGTTGCCAATAAGTATCTGCTCCCTTAATAGTTAGACAGGGCCCCCGGCAGATACTTAGATACTTAGATACTTGGGTACTTGAGTACTCAGATGCCTGGATACTGGGATAGTCAGTCAGATACTTGGATGAGCAGATACGGAGCAGTGGCAGTCCCGAGAGCCGGTTGCCTGGCTTCCTCAAAGTAATTAAGCCGAAAAAGTATCTCGTATCCATGAGATACCCACTCGAGCCACGCAGTAACGGCTGTGGCAGTAACCGAGCTTTTGTATTATTCTGTATCTGCATCTGGAGAGTTGCTCTCTTGACGCATTTGCATGCTTATTACTTATTCTTTATGCCATTTGTTTGTTTGCTCTCATTTTGGCCATATTCCCCCACCCCCCTCCATGCCATCGTCCTTTTTGGTCCTGACTTTGACTGCTCGTTCTGGATTCGACTCCTCGTCTCTTGTCATAATTCTGAGCATTTAACATGTTTCTCTTGTCCAAATTGTCAGAGTTGTCAACTTGTTTATTGCATTTCAGTTTGTCATATAAGCCAGAGCGATGTGGGTGCTTTCCGGGGGGAGTGGGGAAATGGGGGAGTGGGAAATGGAAATGGGAAATGGGCGGCGTTTTGGGCCGCAAAACACTTGGATGGACAAGCTTACGGCTCCCCCAACGCACCGAAAGTTTTCATTGACGTTGATGAAGTTGTAGCTGCTGCTGCCTTTTGTGGCTTTTGCATTTTATAGAAACTGTCAAATAATAAAGCTAATTTGCATATTTTTCGCAGAGCAGCGAGCAGCGTTGGCGTTTTCTTTTCTCCGCTCTCGGAAAACTATGTATGAGTCAGATTTCAGTCTCAGTTTCAGTTTCAGTTTGTAGTTTATCTCCGGCTGCAGGCATCTACTGGCATTATACGGATGCTCCGCATTCCTCAGGACTTCATATATGAACTCGTCTTATTTTTTCATCGCTCCTATCTGCCTTAATAATAATCCACTCTGTGGGGAGAGGAAGGACCTCCATGTTGGCCATATGACAGACACAAGCTGGAAACTGAAACTAAATATTAATTACAGCCCTCACTCACAAATACTAATCTGGGGCTTGAATATTTAAATATTTTAAATTGATTTATGTGATTTTGGGGGTGTGCCTTGGGGTTTTTCAAAAATATAATTTCCCTTCTCCCTCCTGCCCCTTGTTATCATATTAAATTGTTTAAATATTGGCATTTTTACATTTCGTCTGCAAATAAGTTGTGTAAATATAGCGCAAGCATCAACAAACACATCACTGCCACCATCGACACATCCACCAGACACAAATAAGAACTCCTGAGAGCACAAATATTGGTTTGTGCCACACACAACGTTGGCAGCAGAAACAAAAGCAACTAATGCAATAAAAATAACAATAACAATAATAATAATAATAATAACAGCGGCAACAGAAGCGCAACGAAAGCACTTGTTGGGCAACATATTTCTAATAAACAAAATTCGCGTTGTAATTATAAATTGTTCATTTATGTGAGTTTTTCAGTAGGAGTTCGTGGTAATTATAACAATATTCAGTTTTACATCCTCCAAACGATAGTGCTTTTAATTACTTAAATTAAATTTTCGATTTTTAATTATTATTATATGGGATCAAGTAATTGATTTGGAAAATTTCATTCCGGATTAAGCATTTTGTTGAGGGGGGCGCTTGGTTTTTTTGCTTGTTTATTCTTTATTTTTTCCTCGCGGTTGGCTTAAATTTCGTTTTTGATGATTCCTACTTGACCAAGCATTTCCGGACTTCAAAATCACATATTTGTAAATGTTTGTGGGCTCGTTATAAATGTTATTATTATTATATATATTTGTATGCTTAGATACTTACTAATCGCTAGTCACACTTTTGAATGTGGAATTGTGTGGCGGAAGTTGTGACTTGTTCCCATTGCATTTTCGGTGGCAGCCAATTGGTTATTAGCCCGCATATAAATCAAAGCACCCACAAATAAAATAAATATTTTAAACAAAACCAAATGGGTTTTCGATGGCCATTTCACCGCCGTGCATTGTTTACGAGTTTAATTTTGCATATGCCCCATGGACATGCCCCAAGTGCCCCCTTTCACCATTTGCATTGGCCAGAAGGGAATTTCGGTTGCGGCATTCAATTTTGTGGTCAGTCGACAATGGGCAATCGAAGGTGGTAACAGGTAGGCGGGGGCGGTGAAAGAGCAGTGAAAGGGCGGTGAAATGGTGGTGAAGGGTGGAGGGGGGGAGGCGGTACAGGTGCGGCATCTGGGCGTGGCAGCGTATCAGGCGTTTAATTGAGGTCACCCATCGCGGGCTGGAAAGTGGCCGCACAAGCCACTATAAGAAGCAGAAGTGACCTGTTTACGCGAAAGACGAACTTCAAGATACAAAAAGAGAGAGAGTGAGATAAATTCCAGTGAAACGAAAACCAATAAATAAGACGCAGAGCGAGGGAGAGAGACGGCGAGATGGCGGTGACGTGCGTGGTAAAAGTAATGCCTCGTCGGCGGTTACGTCACATGTATCTATCAGATACGCGCACGTATGCTCGATCGCCAGCGCACACTGGTTCCGCTTCACAAAAAAAAGATATCTACAAGACATGGAATGGAGATTAACATGAGTGACAGCCATCACTAGAAATACAAATATTTTAAAGTCGATTAATTCTCGTAGGATTAATACCTTCGTCAACCATCCACCTACAAGTAAAGACAATAATTAACAATAACGAACACTTTATTTTAAATAAATACAATAAATAAAATATTTATTGTTGATTTTAATACAATTATTAACCAGCAACTGAAAAATACATCTACACTACGTTAAAATTAATTAGAAACTAAACAATTAAATGAATAATTCGAAATACAAAGGTAATAACATTTTAATAATTATAAAAAACCATAACAAAATTGTAATAGCAAGAAAATGATTACAATGAATCATGTAGTGGTTCATAAATACAAGCTTTCTGAGTAAAATATTGTATTAAAACTTAAAACAAATAATTTAATTTCAATAATAATACATGCAGTGCTTTATATTATTTATAAAATGGCATAATTTGTACTATTTTATGTTAAACCTCATATATTAACGTTTAAAAAGTATACTTTGGCTTCAACATTTTATATTTATGTTGTTGATCGTTAGTATAACCACTGTGCGGCCCTTCTTTTGTCGCATTATTCTATTGTTTTTATTGTTTTCTTTCGGGGCTCGCGGAGTTAAACTTACAAATTGAGATACATGGCCGTAGATGCACTTGAGATACGGAAGCGGATGTAAATACAGCAGAAAAAAGAGTATAAGCTTACATTTTCAGATGGTATAAAATGTATGTACAAATTCAGAGAGGCATTTTATCAACCGATCAATGATAATGTTGCTAAGAGATTATCCAATTAAAAGTTATGTTGTGAAAACATTTCAATATGCTCGATGAATTCCAAACTGACCAAGTTGCACTTTTGTACAGATACAAATGGGAGGGCATAAGAAAGCTGTCTGGCTTACAGATTAGCCCTGTTACTTATCCGCAATAAGCTTGCGACATTGCGTGCGTGAGATCCAAATGGAGGGCGGCCCATCCATCTTGTTATCTACAAGTACGCATTTGTATCGTCGTATCCCCATCTGCATCGCCATCAGCATCTGCAGCAGGTGATGACATCACTTGTGTAATTTTTTGTGTGTGGAGTGTGTAGCAGTGTAGACATGACAAGCGGATTTGCATCAAAAACGTGCAACAAATTTACAAGATAATCAACGCAGAGCGACGACGAGCACATAACGAGATACACGTACCGACAGATACTCGGTCGAGTCAGTTGCAAATGCAAATGGAAATCAAAATGAAAATGAAAATGAAAATGAAAATGAAAACGGCAGTCGAAATGAACATTTCATATTTGTTTTCCAAGGGCCGGGGCCTGGGAGCATTTTATGCTCGCTTTCATCTGCTGCATTCAAATTGCGCTTGACCAGGCTCAAGCCGGGCTCGATCCACTGGCCAGAAGCAGCTGTTGGGGCCAGTTAATTAAATGAAATTACATTTGGGAGCCATTTCGGCAGTTTCGAACGGGCAGCGGTAAAGGGACTTTCGCCTTTCGAGCTTATTGCAGGAGAAAGTGGATGGGGATGCCGATTCGGACTGGGATTGAGATCAAGATTGAGATTGGCGGGAGATCATCTCACCTCCTAGAATGTGATGTCTGGACCCAGCCCATTAGCATAATGGCCAGAAATCAATTAGCAGCTCGGACTCAATCAAAATGAAACACTTTTACTTTGCTTTTCGCGTTTCTCGTTTCGCCTTAAACGATTAACAACCGAAATACCGAACTCTAACCAATACCGAACCCAAATCCAAACAAAAAACAAACACCGACAAAATCCGTTTCAGATGTTTGTTTTATGCGCATAATTCGAAATTTATTTTATGTCTTATTAATTTTACATAAGCGATGCTTCGACCAGCGCTTCCGCGAGTCTGGGAAAATAACTTGGGACGGCGGCAGATGAAGCAATTAACAGCAGAAGATGGAGTGGAAAAGTAAAAGTTGAAAAGGTTGCAGCTGCAGGTGGCGAGATTTCGCTGCCAATCGAGAAATGTGTCAACGGCCAGAAATTTGAATCTGACTGCGTGGGAGTTTTCGGCTGAGTTTTGCCAATCAACTTGTCAGAGCAATCGAACCGAGAAATACAAATACATATCGAAATACACCGGCTGCTTCGAATTGGTTCACTTCACTTCACGGCCCCCGTAACTTTCGTTAAAGTCTCACTCAACCTTTTTTTTTTTTGACTTTTGGGTGTGCTGGAAAGCTGAAATCCGAGATCTGAGCATCAACTGTCGTGTCATTTGCTTTGTTGTCGCGCTGCTGCCTCCAGAGCCATCAAATATCAAATCAAATTATATATGAATTTGTCACAAGTTGAAAGCGAAAGCCCCATCGATCGCCACTCGATCGTGGCTCTATAAAGGTTTCCTTTGTTGCAGTCGACGCACGGCAGTCCCAGCATCAGCACACACATCACTCGGCACTCGGCACTCGACACTCGGCTTTTTGGTGGCAGGAGAGCTCTACGCAGGAATCCCAGATGTTGCGCATACGCAGTGTGGACCACGTTCTACTGCTCGTGCTCGTGGCAATCGTCTTCGTTACGGCGAAACAGGAAACTGCAGGTGAGTGGGTGGGAAAAAACAGTTTACTATAATACTTCACTATAAGCTAAATAATAATTTATAATTTAATCAGCAAATAAAAGCATACCTTAATGTATCCAATCCAAGAATTATTTTTTACTTTTAGTTGCATTTTTTTCGATCAAACAAGTCTTTAAAAGATTTTTGGGGTAATATTAAAGCAATGTTTATTATAAATTAAAAGTTTGAACGTAGATAATTATTTGTATTCTAGTAAACACCTGATCATTTCTATTATAACAATTTATTTGAGTTAGAATAGAGACAGGGATGGTAACTACCAACGATACTTTAGTTTACAAACAAAAAAACATTCATTTGAAAGTTTAAAATAACAACTACTTTAACTATATCTTTAACATTTTTAACATACTCCTACTCCTTGAAGATTCGACTTCTTAGTTTTTCGGCTTCACAAAACAAAAACACATTTGGAAGAGAATGATATAACTCAAAGTTGTTCTTATAAATTGGATTTAGAACACATTTATTTTGTTTCATTTCTCACAGCTAAACCGTAAATATATTTTCTTTAAGTTCACAATTCAACGAAGGGGTTAAACTCTTTTTTTGTTCAAGCAGATTAAAATATAAGTCTTTTTTGTAACTTTCCAGCTTTTATTAAAATTCGGATAACAAGTTTGTTGCATAATAAACCAAATAGTGGAAGCGTAACTAGTCCAATGTTTCGGCTTAATCGCATAAATCGGCCAACACGAGCTTTTTGAATGAAACTTATATGGGTTTTGTTTTCAAAAATAAATAAATATAGGATTATACGTTTATTTTTATTTGGGCAAACTTACAGCTTTGAATATATGTTGTTAAATTAAATTTGTATTTAAGTTCGAAGCTTAAAGACCAAAATGTAGATTTCTTTCGCAACCTTAACTCGGAATTGATAAGTCTAAGTGTTTGATTATTAAGCTCTTTAATAACTTGATAACCTTAATTGGCATTTTTGAATGATTTGATAGATACATAGAAAGAAATAAAAGAAATTAAAGAAATAAATTAAGAAATTACAATATCATTCTGCAGATATGCCTGATCTAGCTATAGGGTGATACATGTACATTAAGTTCAACAATTCTGCCAAAATATTAGTAAAAAAATGAACTTATTTATTTATTATTTATTTATTACAAATAATAGAATAGTTTATCAAACTAAGGCTAACATAAAAGGCATAATAATGTTTAGAATTACTAATTATATATATGTTTTTGGGTTTTATATTATGCTGTAAATATTTTTTTCTGTTAGGAATTTAATTTTTTTCTTTGGAAGGTTTTTTAAGGAAGTCGGTGGTTTTGTAATTTTTAAAAATTTGTTCCTTTATGTGTGTTGTTGTAAATGAACTATTTGTGGTTCCTTCAGCCCGCCAGTTCGGTGGTCAGAACTTCGGCAATGGCCTGGGTCCCGCCTTCGGAGGCGTTGGTGGTTTCGGGCCGGGAATAGGCCCCGGACTGGGACCCGGATCCGGATCCGGACCGGCAGGATTTCCGGGACAAGGACCCGGCTACGGACCACCGCCGCAGCAGCCCGGATGCCCGCTGTGCGACTCGTCGGTGTACACGTACTGCTCCCACAAGATGGTCCACGACGCCTGTTGCTGCGACTTTCCAGGTAATTAATCAGTGGCTCCCGCCCCGAAAGCCTTTGGCGACATTATTTATGCACGCTTTTTAATCGCCTGCATTTATTAATTTTATTCAATTTGGCATTACCCCCCTCCCCCCAGCCACCACCGCCCCCCAGCTGCGACCGCCCCAGTGTTTGTACTACGACTGCTCGCTGCTGTATGCCAAATCCTGCTACGAACACGCCCTCATCAAGAACTGCTGCTGCAATAATCCCTACTGAAGCCCACCAACCGGACCAACTGTCAGCGTCCATTTATCGGAAAAGCGGCCAAGTGATTTGTTTGCCCTTCTGCTTAATTTATTTATTCAATCCATTTAAAATGCATGTGCGCCGCGGACAGCTTAATTTTTTAAATCAAATTCATGCGATTGTTTAATGCAAGCGGCCGCTAAATTTAATTAAGTAAATTATTTGAAAACCGAATGTGAGTTGTGTTGTCTTTGTTAACGAACTATTTGACTGGCAAGGCGGAACACAAAAATGCCAATTGAAAATTGGGCTCAAATTGACTTACCTGAAAATGCTTTTAACGCGAAAAATGTGACAGAAAGTTCTGTATTATTATTGTGAAAAAGTTCACAAGTTGAAATGCAAACAATTACATTTATTTTATGCGGGCAACCAAATTTGTTTGTAAAATTAAATTGTTTGTATTGCTTTAGCCAATCATAATTATTTACATAGTTCAACAAATTTAAATAGTCGTTAAATCTCAGCTGAACCTAAAAATCATAAGGGAACTTCAGTTAAGAGTGTCCAAAAAATGGAAATCAACTATTTCCAATCTTATAATGCAATGTTTTTATAAACAAGTCATGTCTTTATCGTTGACTTTTTCCTATGACTTACATTAAAGGTCATAACATATAAATAGAAAATTAACGATACAGATTTACATTATTTGCTTTAAATTATTGTTGGAAAAAATACAATTTGAATAAGCTTAAACTGTTATTTAATAAGCTTATCAAAATTACCGAAGAAGAATTACATTGGCTACCAAAATTTTAGCCATGTTTTGGGACAGACATGATTTAATTTTTTCTAAGCCGTAAATTAAATACATTCCCTGCTGCATCGCCCATGGATAACTAACTTGTTCGCCGGATTATTCGGCATTAAAAATGTGTTCAATTAATTCATGGCTTTTGTTTGCATTTCACCTACTCGCTGCCTCATTTATCAATTGTCGTGTTGGGCTCCACTCCATGCTATTAGCATAATGAATGTTTTCTCTCCAGATTAATTGATTTTTAATACGCAGCCATAATCGGCACACAAATACGCATCTACAGCGATATGTATGCAGATACTACAGATTTTTTCATTATCTAATCCCAAATTATGTGGCTCCATAAATTATTTACAAAAAAATCACATATATTTATAAATGAGAGCCGGGCCATAAAGTATAAAACTTTCCATTTACACGCACATTTAAATTTAAATTAATTAGTTTGAGCACAAACACGGCCAATTGTGAATAAATCAGGTCCCAAGAAACCGTACGAAAAATGAATGTCGAAACAAATAAACAAAAATACGATAATTTTTTCTTTGCCCCCCTCCTCCCTTCTTGATATATAAAAACAAATCCAGAAAAAAATCTCTGGAAATTTCGTAGGCGATTATTAGATGACAGCAACAACAGCATTCAGAAGATAATAACAACGACTCAAAACTTCTCTGGGTTCCTCTGCGCCGTCGCTTTCTTCAGCAGCAGCCCCTTTCCATAAATCTAAAATTATAAAAATCTCTCGTAATCCACACAGCAGAAACATCGGCAGCAAAAATTCAAATACAAGGCGCGGCAAGAAATATTAGCATATTACATAAGAATTTTCACTTTCATTTAGTATGACGAGGCGACCAATCCCCCCACAATCCACTCCACTTCCCTTGATTCCATTCCATTTGAGCCACTGAGATGACGAAGTCGCCGAGTTGAGACCCCTCTCGGCAAATACATTTTGCTTGATTAGCATAAATCTCTATATTAAGTGGCTCGCCCGCCGCACCCCCTATTTTTTGGGAAACGGTAGGGGGCGGGGGGTTGACTGGCAGGCGGCAAGGCCATTGCCGATGGCAGCTTTCTCCACAGCCTTGCCACAGGGTATTACGGCACTACGACACTGGGTCTCCGCTTGCGACACTCACAACTGGCCAGCTGTTTATTAAATATTTATACAACCGATTTATGCCACGCATCTGCTAATAGGTTTATCACCTAGTTTCGTTTAATTCCAGTGCGATGACTAATTAAGACTAAATAGACTGATCCGGGTTTCACTTTGATCGAATTTTGCCCATCATATTTTTAAGCTCGAAATCAATGGTTTAATGACTGCAACAGTAAACATTTTACATTTCGAATTTCTCCAGAAATAATTAATTTAATTCCGTTAAGCTGTCCAAAATCAAATCAATTTTATGGCTTACACCTTTTAAATAACTACATTTCAATTATTAAAAATATAGCGACCAACGTATTATGTAATATTATCGCTTTAGAAATCTATTTGAACTGTTTTAAAATTTAATATAAAATTGTAATTAAAAACTATATCATCGTTAGGAAACAGACTGTTTTAATTAAATCAGTTTAAAAAACTCTCAATAAATAAACTATAAAATCTTTAGAAAACAGACTGATTTAAGTAATAAATCATTTTAAAAAGCTCTCAATAAATAATCCTATAACCTAATAAATAGGCTTAGGATTATGATTTCGAATTTAAATGATATTCTGATTATTTTAAGGTCATGCGGAAGGTGGTTCCAGTTTCAGCTTTTAATTTTAAATATAGGTAAACCCAATGAATTTATGTTTGGTTTATAATATAAAATACTAATTTGCATGCCCTTTCATTAAGTATATTAATTTCAGTCCACACCCATAAGTAAGATTTCGTTTTGAATATGGAATCTCGGGCAGGGTTTTTCTGTTTCGGCTTGACTTGGACTTCATTTGGTAATTTGGCGTATTGGCGCAACAATTGTCCGCGCAATCGAGCGAATGGCCACGCCCAAACGCTTGCCGCATTGACAGTTATTGGGCGAAACAAACTTGACTTTTTTCTGCCCTGTTTCGCAGGACGATGGCTGATTGGAGCGGTCCGGGGCGAAGGACATGGGCGCGGCAGGGGCCGCCGAGATAATCACAAAAGTTTTGTAATAATTTCAATTTTTTCCGGCCACTTCTTCTCCTTCATCTGCGGTTCGGTTCGCTTTTTTTATCCCGACTGGATTTTGCTTGCCGTTTGCACTTTTCTAACAATTTCGCTTCAAATGAAACCTTTAATGGATTTCAAAAGAAAAATTTATTTTGACAATGACTATGAATTTTCCTCCGCCATTCGCCTCTCTTACACATTTCATTTTATTTATTCATCTTCAGCCCCTATTGTTGTTGCTGTATTTTTTTTTATTGCCGTTCCAAAAGTTTTTAATGAGCGCGCGTTGAAATTTTATCTGTGAGCTCAACCCTCTGCGCTTTTACTTTCTCCCACTTTCCCGCTTTTCCGGCGATCCTTTTTTCCCCCCTGCCCCCATCGTTCCGTTCTTTAGTTTCAGTTTGGTTTCGTTTCGGATTTTTGTTGCCTTCTTTATGAAGTAAAAACTCGGGACACGTTTACTTCATCAAATGCGCTTAATTAGAATTAGCATCGGAATGTGGCTCTGCTGGGGAATGTGGCCCTGCAAGTCGGCGGAAAACAGGAGGCAAAGGATTCGGCATTGAACTATGTCCAACTGGGCGCGGAAAGCGAAATCGGGGGCTTTCAGCCAGGTGGAGTCGCAGCTGGAAGCTGTTTCGGGCCGAGCGGAAAAAATTTCACAAATTTTTGAAATACGCCCAGGACAGAAATGCGACTGCGAGGGCCGGGCGACACAACAAAGGCAATATTTGGACAGGGATCTGATGCAGCAAATTCGTGGAACAGGGTGCTGTGGGTATTGGCACTTAAGAGGGTTTGGCCAAAACCGGAATAGCCCAAAATCAAGAATTCAAATTCAGACCTCTGGAAACTGATTCATACTACTAGGGGATACGCGCAAAGTAATACAATAAATTTCAAACTAATACCCACATTAAAAATTGCAATGTAAAATCATTTCATTGTTTATTATATTGATTAAAAGAAATGTACATAACAATCATACGTTTGTAACGCAAAGTGAATTTAAATTTGTATCAGATTTTATTATTATATATTATAATTATATTATTATTATATTGGTTAAATATCAAAATATGTAGCTTAGACTATAAAAAAAACAAATAAATAAATTGTTTCGTGGTGTGTTTCACAACCTTTTAAAAATTATATCGATTTTGTTAAAAATAAATTGATTTACAGTTTACTGGATTAATAGATTGCGGTTTTTTGATATACTGCTAATGGTTGATTTATTAAGTGGTTATCAATTGATGTCACTTTTTATCTAATAAGTCAATGTATTTGTTAGAAAATATGTCTATATAAATTCATGTACTCATAAAGATGTACAAATTTGTAAAAAAAAATAAAACGAGAAGCTTAATAGCCAGCAATTAAATTTGTATTTCACTGAGTAGCATCCGTATTTTCTGGTGGAATATTTAACCATTTATCATATTCAATATTATTTGTTATGCATTTAATTCGTCACTGAAGATTTGGCGTTCCATTTCCGACGATTTCCGATGAACTCTTAAGATTTCCGCTATGCTTTCTCCGTCGATTGCGAGGGAAGTACATTGGACATCACATCGTAATCACCGCGATGGACAATTTCGAGACAAATGGTGTTACGTAACCCCATCGAGTAATTACAAGCACACGCACCCGCAAAAATAAATAAATATTTGAAAACAAATTATGCCTTCGTCTGTGGCAGCAATTGACAAAGCAGACGCCAACGGGGCGGATGGGAAATGGTCCGCAAATAGGTTTCCATTAACTGAAACATTATATAGACGTATATAAATATAATTAGCGCTCATAATAATGACGATCGCGTGAAGGATGCGGGACCGGTCGGTTCCATGACCATTTCTCACTTTCGGTAAATTAAATTCGCATAAGCAAAATCAGCAAGAAAAACGATGCCGAACTGAAATTGAAACCGAAACGAATCGAAACGAAGCGAAATGGACAAAACAAACCAAAACGCTTCCAATGGCTCATGACAGTAAAGAAAAGACAAGACCGGCACATACAAAAACTTTGGTATCTTGGTAGATAAAATTATGGTTAAAAATAGACTTAGGCTATAAAAATGTTTAAGCTACACCTCAAAAAACTTACATATGATTTTTTAGCGTTTTTTTAACAATGGAAAAACGCTTTCAAAGTTTTCTGAGTACAGACAAATGAGACAACATTAAAATGGCCAAAAACTGCAAAAAGCTTTAGGTGCTGGTAAGTTTGGCGGATCATTTA